ACAGTACAGAGACTGCGCTTGTGAAAGTCACAAACGACATCCTCTCTATCTGTAACCAGGGCTCCCTCTGCCTCCTTGTCCTCCTGGACCTCACGCGGCATTCGACACAGTCGATCACGCCATCCTCCTTCACCGCCTTTCTTCCATCACCCACCTCAGTGGGACTGCACTCGCCTGGTTTGAGCCCTACCTCACAAACTGCCAGCAGTACATCTGCACAATCGGCTTCTCCTCCCGCTCTCACCCGGTTACCTGCGGGATACCCCAAGAATCCATCCTTGGCCCCCTCATCTTTCTGATCTACATGCTCTCTCTTGGGGATGTCATGAAAATGGGGTACATTTTCCACATATACGCGGACGACACTCAACTCTATTTTTCCACCTCTCTTTGCGACCCCCAGTCCCCTGATGTTGTGTCAGCTGCCTGTCAGATCTCAGGGGCTGGATCAGCACAAGCTTCCTTCAGCTGAACGTTGGCAAGATGGAAGCCATACTCTTTGGCTCTCGTCAACGTCTAAAATCTCACGGCTCTCACCTCCACCTACCCAACTTCCCCCTAAAACTCTCCGAACCCGTACGCAACCTAGGAGTTAAGTTTGACCACCAATTATCCTTCCTCCTCCACATCCAGTCCCTCACCAGCACCGCCTTCTTCCACCTCCGACGCATCGCCCGTCTCCACCAATACCTCTCCGAAAGCCGCTGAAACCCTGGTCCATGCCTTTGTCACCTCTCGGCTGGACTGTTCTAACTCCCTCCTCGTTGGTCTCCCATCTACTACTATCCGTAAAATCCAGATCATTCAAAACTCTGCCGCCCGCATTCTCACCCGCACCAAACTCCGCTCCCCGATCACCCCAATCCTTGCCACTGGCTGCCTGTCCCAGAGACTTCAAGATCAAGATCCTAACCCTTGTATTCCAAGTCCCTGCAGTACTCTGCAGCCCCCTACTTCTCTGACCTCCTCTCTCCTCAAATCAATAACCGTTGCCTTCGTTCCTCCGGGTCTGGCTTCCTCCTCGTCCCCCGAGTCCTCCGCTCCACCCTCGGCAGCTCAAAGTCCCCACAGCCTTCTGCCTCGGAAGTGAGAGTGCTAACCCTGACAGAAGTAAAGGGAATAGACCCAGTTGAGCCTGCGCCTATGTCAGCTATCTTTAATTCCATCTCCTCTCCATCTTTATGCATTTTATTTCACTGCCTTATTCCAGCAGGATTTTAGCACGAATTCCAAAACATGTAACTTATTCCATAGGTCTGTCAGACGTGTCCATTTGTTTTTGTTTATCGATGCCATAAAACATAACTTCAATTTTATTTTGTGATTTCTTTCAGGTTTTTTCTTACCATATTCCAAGTCGTTTTTCTTCCTTTGCACACAACCTGTAGGAAGGTGGACAAGCATACCCTGTTCTATAATCAGGGGTGCAAGAATAACACAGGTTGACTTGTTTTTCATTTCTTCTTCCTATCATTGAGGGGGCGGGTGGGGGAGAGAGTGCTTTGTCTCCACTCAGTTCCTTCCTGAAGGCAACCCAGAGGAGACTGGGAGCTTGCTGTGTGGGGGAATGATGAATGCATAACTAACAGCCTATCACTCTGTGGTATAGTACATTAACCCACCGTTCCGTCACAAGCCAAGCTGAGTTGTACCGCAAGTAGGTTTAGGTAGACTATCAGATTTACTGCCAAAATAGTTCATCTTAATACTGTCACGTTAAAAAAAATCATTAATTCAATGACTTTTAAGAAGAGTTTTGCTTGAGCTGAAAAAAATTGCTGAAATGTTTTGCGAGACTCGAGAGAAATCATGACCTCAGAGCCGTAGGCTAGAAAACGTTTCCAGGAAATATTTTAGCCAGAATTTTTTTTCTTCTTCACATTGTTGCCTTGAACGGTGTCTAAAAAACAAAATGAAACTCCCAGTCAGTTTTCTGATTTGTTTATCTAGAATCTGAAAATGTTCTGATCCTGTCACAGAAAGTTTCATCAAAGTCTGAGTATTTTTTGACGTACGGCCAGTGGCTGGAACACTTTTTTGGCTGGTATCACATATCGTGACGAGAGCACCAGAACCATAAAGTATTTTAAGGTGATCTGGCTAATAAAGCCTTACTTTACGAAAGGGCAGTCTCTGAATCAGTCCCAGTCATTGGCAAGGCTGCTGCATTGAAATTGAAAACAGCCACGGTTTACTTCATTCCTTGGGTTACTACTGTTCAATTGTGATTTACAAGAGTGTGTGAGATATGGAAATCTCTCACGCAACTCTGATATGCCCTGAATGAGTGCATACTGTGAAATCAGCTTGCCTCATAATAACAGCCCTGTGATTGAGGAATATACTGTATTTAAAAAGAAACCATCCATCCGTAAACATGAACTACAGCATTCATGCTAGCCTCTGGACATTTACAAAAAAAAGATTTTGCAAGTTATTGGCTTTTTGGTTATGCAAATATTCCCAGAAGACAAAAGTAGTTAAATGGTAAACTGAAACAGCTGTATATTTTTTTTCTTCTAAAAGTTGATGTGTTTTTACACGTTTATGTCAGTGTGCATTGCGCTGTCATAAAAAGAGAGCATGGAACATAATGAATTAAAAAGTTATTTCCTTTTTCCTTCTAATGATCCTCCAGTCATGTTATTTGCGTGTCCCAGCTCCATATCCTGCACTTGAGCTCACAGCTTTCCTGCAGGTCAGCCAATGTTGCCATCATAGTACCTGTTATGCAACGTGCAAATGTTTCCGTGTGTAAATCGGAGTGTTTAGACAGGTGGAAAATATTCCAGGCTTTCTTTGTATTAACTGTTCCAGCAAAATACAAGCAGCTCAATGCATGAAACCCCAAAACTCGTTTAGACATCACTTGTATTGCTACCTGCTGAAGGTCAACTGATGATCAAAAATAATACTTTTACCTACACCTTTCTGAATTTTTAACAGATGTTTCGCCCACAAAATATACAGTCCATCCAGTTTACAGTATTCTGTGGAAGTGCTTTGAGCCATCTCAATGACGCAATAAAACGCTGTATCAAATGCAAGGATTATTATTATTTTATGTGGAAAATGTAACGATTTTGTGACTGGACGTATTAATGATTTGACAGGACCTATTCTAATATTGTCTTCTGATAAATACCACAACCTGTATTGTCCTATGGTTCTGCTACAGCTTCTGCTTTGTAAATGGTTTAAGGTAACTTTGGAGAAATCTCACCTTTCTCACCTCCAGACTTGGCGCTTGAATGACAGTAATACGATTTGCACATGTTTTTTCTCTGCATCCAGGCCAGTACGAAACCAGTCAGTGTTTCAGTGCAGGCTAATTGAATATAAAACTACCTATCGAATAGCTGTGGCCTCCAGGGAAGTGTAACAAAACCAGTGTGATATAATTTCTTTTCTGTGGGATACTTTTGTTCACTGTAGGTCAGCACCACATGACCAGGTTTGACTCTGTTGCCTTCACTCTCCCTGGAGTCAAATTTCAGCTGTGGAAAAAATATTGGTTAGGCTACAGAATCCGAAGTAGCTTATATTTTGATAATATTTAACATATCTGGATAATCTGCGGAAAAAACATACAGAAACAACAATTTAAAAAAAAAAATACACTCATCGATCTAGCGTATTTAATATTCCATCACAAATATTAAAACAAATATTATGAATTGCTCCCAGTAGTCAGCCAGTGTGAGTTGAGATAGTCACAACTTGTGAATGAATCCCACACTGGTATTAGGTTGTTGTGTGGGTGAGTGTGCTTTCTGTTGATTGGGTGCCACAACGCACTGGGATCTACATACTATCCTGTATTCATGTCACAATTGTGATCTATGGAACAGTGCGATCCCACTAGTGTCTCTCTCAGAGCTTTTCCCCCAAGATCCGCTGCTATCTCTTTTGTAAAATTGAGAAGCAGGTGCCTTGCTTTGCTGGTATGTCTCTCGACTTAAGAGCCAGGGGTTGTGGGCTCAAACTCCACATTGGAACTTTGACCTGGTGTAGGCTGACACTCTAATGCAGTGCTGGGGACGTGCTGCTTTGTTGGCGATCCTGTCCTTCAGACAAGATGTTAACCAAGGTCCCAACTGCCTGTCTAGGTGAACGTTAAAATCCCATGGCAATATTCAAATATAGTAGGGAGTTTCTCCTGGTGCCCTGGCCAATAATCCCCCAGATATATTTGGGGGGATGTTGAGCATTACCTCAACCTGTAAAATAAAAATTCATTATGTTGTACTATAAAAAGTATAGCATACAGGTCCCAGCATGGTACTATATTTGTACAATAATTGGACTCAATTTAACATAATAGACTTATGATTTCATAACTCGTGTTTTATCGGACACAGTACTTGCCTTCTAAGGTAACGTTGTTAGGAGTTCCCAGGCTATCCTCTGTTTAACTTTAGCTTCACAAATGCTCCTTGCTGTAACGATGACAAATCTATTATTCAAGTCTCCCTCATTAAGATGACAATGTCAATTTATGAAATTATCATGCTACAGCCATGAGAGCGAAGGCATCCTTCTCTAACTTAAGCCAAGATTGTGAAAGTACTTGGGTAGTTATTGATGCTGTAGTTTTAACCGACTGACGTAGGTTGCCTCAATAAATTGTCAACATAATGAAAGGAACATTTTGTTTGTGGTACATCACCATCCAAAATGTAACACTCAGCCCTTCTCCACAAATCACATTTCATGGTACAGTAAGAAACATCAGCAAATTAACACACTAAATACTTCATTTTTTTCAGTATTGTAATCCACAGCTGGAATAGAACCTTGGTCCATCTGAGTCACCGTCAAGTTGTAAATCATAGCTTCTTTTTATTATCTCCATATTTAGATTCACCACAGCAACCACCGCATTGTTTTCAGTTGTTTGAGCTCGAGATTTATTTTGTGTTTAAAAGTTGTTGCTCAAATGAATCTTCCATGTTGTTTTATGAACAGTTGTGCATCTCTCGTCTCTCTCTTCCACACAGTGACCTCCTTCAAGCTGCACCAGCGAGCAAAGCACGTATACAGTGAGGCCGCACGGGTTTTAAAGTTCAAGAACATTTGCGATCACACACCTGAGAACGCAGTACAACTGGTGGGCAAACTAATGCATCAAAGCCATGTCAGCTGCAAAGATCTGTACCAGTGCAGCTGTCCTGAACTTGATCAGCTGGTGGACATCTGTATGTAAGTTTTCCAGGGAAATAAGACTTGGATGGTTTGTGGCATCTTAATTATAGAATGGAATTTTTGCTTCACATTTTCCGTGTAATATAGCTAATGTAAACATCAGAACTATTGTTTATGTCCTATGGTGAAAGAACCCACATTAAAAAAAACTTAGGATGATGTTACCTAAATAACGCAACATTCACAATATCAATTTATCTCGGGATCTGCCAGATTAAATGTCAGTGTAACCACAACATCCCGAGTGGAAAGTTGAGCTGGGGAGCCAACGAGAGAGGATGTTGTGAAAAAATTAAAAAGTCAGGTTATTAAGAACATAAGAATTTGTTAGGCGAAAGAAGACCAAAGTCCATTCAGTTCACCTTCCACCATCCTGGCAATCGCATACACATATTGAACATTGAAAAGAATAATTTTTATTTAATTAATTTTTAAAAGAGAGCAAAGAATGGGCAGGCCAGTTAAGTCATTGAACTTTTGACTCCTAACCAGAAGGTACTGAATTTCAGGATTAATGTGTTGACACCATTTGGCTGGGTTAGGTACAATATAATAATATAGTAATAATCTATGCATTTGATGTAGTGCCTTATCATGTCGTCGAGAAATCTCAAAGCGCTTCACAGGAATTTACTGTGACTGTATTTGTAGGTGAGCTGGGCAGCCAATTTATGCACAACAATGTCCTACAAACAATGAGTGACCAATTTAGTCTAGAAGATTCTTGGCAAGGATACTGGAAGAAGCTCCCTCCTCTTTGAGTAGTGCCATGGCATCTTTAACATCCACTTGAACAGGCAGACTGGTTTTAACGTCTCATCTGAAGAGACAGCATGTTCAAAAATGCAGCTTACCCCTAGCAATGCATTACGGTGCCAGCCTAGACTGTGAGATCAAAATGCTGATATGGGGCTTGAACCCACAACCTTCTGACTCAGAGGCGAGAGTGCTACCAATTGAGCCAATCTGCCAGGTAAGAAAATGTCATAGTAGAAACACAAACAGCACAACATTGCAGGAGACCATTTAGCCTATTAATTTGGGCCATTCACAGAATCTGCCAGTTTCTGAGGAAGGAAACTGTATTAGTAGGTCCTTTCATTGTTGCTGTTCAACCTTTATTGTTACAGAGTGTTACAAAGGCATTGATTTGACTAAGAGGGAATGGTTAAAATGTAGTGGCAAAATGTCATGTGTGGCATTCAAACATTTCCGCCATTCCAGGAAATCCTCGATTCATTCTGTTCAAAATTCATTGGAATAATGGTGTTACATGTGTCAGCAAGTTCTTCTGTTTCTGATTGTTTTGCCATTGCAGTCTATGTTCTGCCAGCTGCTGATCCAAGCTTTTAAATGACTTTGACAAAGTAAACCCAGACCAATACTTTATGATGTACTAAGACAGCAGAACAGGAGGACACAAGTTTAGGGTTGCAAAGAACATTCTTTTTTATCTAGACAATAATTAATGACTGAAATGGTTTACCAGGAAAGGTGGTCAAAGCCAGCTTGCTGGATTTGTTATTGTCATGTTTAGTGGAAGCAAAGCAGTCACTAAGTGAAGTTAAAGTATGATTTTTTTATGATTAAAAACTCATGCACACGCATAAGTCAATGTCAAACAAGAACGGAATGACTTAATACTCTCAGAGAAAAAAAATGAAGTATTACTTTTCAAGTGTCATTCTCCAAACAGCTATATTATATCATGTGGTTAAAAAGAGCTGACACACAACATGGGTGTATAGGAGATGATGCAGTTTCCTCTGAGGGTCAAATGTCCTGAAAATGTCTCCCACAGGATTCAGTGCCTGAGGATCATTACTCATATGAAGAGCTTCACTCAAAGAGGAACAGGACACCTTTGATAAGTAATCCACCTTTTTGTAGCTTTTGTTCAACAGGCTACAAATCCTGAGAAGTAGATGCTAGATCTGCGTGTCTGTTTGAATTATAAGGCCTCCACCATTATCTACCGTAGTCCTTTGCTACATGATCTTAGTAAAAAAAAGCGATGACCCGAGATAGATTACTATTAGGATAAATATATCATCAGCAGAGATCTAAATTATATGGCGAATTTACAAGGCAGTAAATCTGGATTTTATAAATGAAGCATACCATCATTGCAGATAACAGCTTCATATAAGATGATACCTGTTGTAACACAAATTCACAGTGTATCAAATATATTAAAAGCATTGGCAATTAGTACTGCCAACCAGGTTACTCTTAGTTCCAACCTCTCAAGTTGGCAGATGAAATTTCCCAGTTAGTGAGGGGCATTGCATTCCCCAATCATTGCTTATTTATGGTGGTGATAGAGGCAACAGGTGCATTTTCGTGGGAACCTTGTCACCCTTTATTCACTCTTGGCTGTTGCACACAAAAAGCTGAAATTAAAATTAAATTGGTGACACTTGCCAGCTAGCTCCTGCAGCTGGAGATAACACAATGCTAAAAGCTGTGTCCGAGAAGTAGGGTCGGACTTTCCTCATCGTGTGTTTGAGCAGATCAGATACTGTAGAGTAAAAGGCAAAATACTGCAGATGCTGGAAATCTGAAATAAAAACAGAAGTTGCTGAGAACATGCAGGAGGTCAGGCAGCATCTATGGAGAGAGGAAAATCAGTTAACATTTCAGGTCGATAACCTTCCATCAGGACACTGTAGAGTGTTGTCTTAAGGAGCTGAACTAGGAACTTCTGCTGACTTCTCTGTTTTGGCTGATGGGGTTCGTTTCCATGTGCGGAAAAGAAGTTAACCTTCCTGTCAGTCTTTGTGTATACTACAAGATTAATTAAAGGGCAAATTAAATAATATGTAAACATAATTTCTTTGGAGCAAAGTCTTAAGAGCTGCAAAGTACATTGCTCTGGTTTTGCTCAGTTAAGGGTGTAGCCTGGCTTGGCTCATTTAAAAGCATAATCGTGGGGGTGGTTTAGGCTAACGACCCGCCAAGGATTTATTAAGCAACCATTTTTCAAATTGCGTGACACCATTTAAATCACCTAATCTTAGGGTTCTGAACTTGGAATTAGTTGCAGATGCACAGCAGTAGCACAGCAGACCCGTGTAATGAGGAGCGGGAGATATAAATGTAGCTACAGCCATGCTGAAGCAGACTCACTTTGCTGCCAGTGGTATCAACAATAGCATTACAGCAGTGAAAAGAAATACTCAGCTCTGAGCTCAGTTGTTACTGCTGTGTTTTGAGGAAAACCCAAGCATTAATTAAAGAACAATTTTCAGAGCTTCATATTATAACCTAGAATGTAGAAGGTAGTATTACATCTTTCAGTGTGAGAAATAAGCCAGTCCATTGTAGGAAACACCATAAAAATGTTTTGAGTTATGAATACAATAGGCCTATTCTTTTAAGTGTTATTATGGAGCTGTCAAATGGCCACAATTTCAGTCCCAATTCCTTCAATATGAAATGGGGCAGAAGATCATTTTTAATAGTGTTATTAAAAATCAACAACATTTATTAATGTGTTTATTGAATTCTCTGGGAGGCCGTTTTACAATTGAAACAAACCGTAGCTTAGGACATTTCCAGCAGTGTCTTCAGAGAATGTTCCACCTCCTGTTGTAAAGCCAGACTTGCACACTAACTAATTGATACTTCCTTACAATGGAAGACATCCACAGCAGCAGATAAGTCTACAAGTTCACAAGGTTGTGATGCCTTTGACCCATCTGATCTCACCAAAAACCCATGCTCCTATTTCCTCATCACAGCATCAAGCTGCTTTGTGAATGAGTCCAGTGACCTGGCCTTAACCATCCTTCCTGGCAGCTTGTTCCAGTTAATACTCTTGAGTAAAGAAAAAGTTCCTGGTGACTGAATTGAGATTGCTCTTTCCAACTCTAAACCTATGCCTCATGTTGTACTGTGTTGGTGCATCCAAAAGGATATATCTGAGTTTATCTTTTCAATCCCATTTAAAATTTTACATAGCTTCTGAGTAACTATTAAGCACTCTGAGACGCTACCCTTCGTGGAGGGTGCTATATAAGTGCAAGTTGTTGTTGTTGAGTCGTCTTGTCTCAAGACTGAAAGAAGACGCATTATGAGTGAAAGGAAGAGGGAAAGGATGGGGCTTGGGGATTGTGGTGTCCACACATTAAACAAGATTCAGGGTCAGTTGTCGACAAATACATTCGACAGATAAAAACAATTCCTATTTTTACAGAGAGGCTGAACCAATGAAATAGTTGTATTTAGTTTTCTCTCTGGATTTTGTAGTGGAACACTAAGGTCCAGAGGTTGTGACTGACTCTCAAACTCCACTTGGATTTGGAGTTGGTGTAGCAGTAGAATTCCAGAGGACGAGTCGGAACTGTGGGATTCCTTGTGTACAAATCCTTTTGCGAATCTTGCAGATGTGGGCCCACTATCTACAAAGCAACTTAAATTAACCCAAATTACAGAACATTTCAGAGTAACAACAGGGTGTGTGCACATCTGTAGCGCAGAGAATTGGATGCACATTTTTTTGCCTGACAGCATTTCCCTTAAGTATTACTGTTTTTTTTCAGGCAATCTGGTGCTATTGGCTGCCGGCTAACTGGTGCAGGGTGGGGAGGCTGCACTGTGTCAATGGTACCCACTGACAAGCTGGAACATTTCCTGGCAAAGGTACAAGAAGCCTTTTACAAAACTGATGCTCAAAGAGCAGCTCTGCAGAAACAAAACCTGTTTGCTACCCAACCTGGAGGAGGAGCCACAGTTTATCACGAAGCCTAAAGAATGTGCCCTTATGAGAGAAGCAAGATACGTGGGAACAAGGAAGTCTCTTTTCTTTCTGTTATTTTTGACACAAAGCTAATCTCTTTATTGTTTGCTGCTTTGTAGTATAGTTATTGAGATACAATTGGTGAAACTCTTTGAAAAGAAGCTTACATTTTTTGCAAGAATGTAGAGGTGTTCATAATACGCTTTGTGTCCCTCAGTCTGAGGCCAGTGCTCAAAAATATCATTGTTATGAAGTATCGCCAAAGTGTTAAATTACCAGATTTATCATTTTAATCTATCGTTATCTTGCACAAGAGCACATTTTGTAACCTTTTATACATGGTGTCAAATGTTTCCAAAGAATGCACAGCCCGCACGTCTTTCAATACTTCCAGGTATACCATGTCATTCAAACCATGTTAAATGGTAACTTACCTATTTGCTTAATACTTAGTCCTAGGTAAGTTAGTCCTCAGTTACAAATCGAATGATAAAAGGTGCAGTTTATTTGGAATACATTTAAGGAAATGCCCCAAATCAAATCTTTCTTTGCTTTCTTGTGATCAGATTTGCAGTTCAACTACAAGGCTGCTGAAATTTAAACCACACAATTTTATACTTGTTTTCGTGTTTGAATTTTCATCTCTTCGTCTCTCTCGTCCTCATCCTTTTCTATTCGTCACTGGATACAGTTAGATAGTCCTAATGAAGATCAAGATGGTGTTGAAAATATTCATGTTGATGCAAAATCGATGTAACATTTGCTTACAATGTACCTTGAAGTCTAAAATATTTTACTAGAAGATGCAAAGATGTTTCTAACCATGAATGCATTTCACAATTGTTTCTAAGAAAGGAGCGAAATCTTCAGCCTGCTGATAAAACATAGTGATAGTGGTGATGGGGGAGGGGGGCACGGGGCAGGGAAAATGGAGAACAATTGATGATGATTGTCCAGAAATAGAAAATTAGCTAATGTGGACAAAATATAATCACTTTGACTTGTAAATGTGAGGCTTCATCTTACTCAAGGTGTGGTGTGGCATGGGGGTGGGCGGGTGATGTAAGTTTTATCTGGTGCTCACATCTTATTCATTAACCAAAATAAATTGCTGGAAAATTATGGTCGTAGACTATGCCTCATGTGCAAGCCTAGTGCAAAATATTCAGATAATTGTCTTTCATTCCTTAACATGCAATTTGTATTTTATAATAATCATTTTCAGGATAATCATGGCATTGGAATCTGTTCACTGTATTCAAATTCCTAAAGTGCACAGCAGTAATACAAACAATGTCTAATGAAGCTAATTTTAATTATTTCTAATTCACCCTATTTTCTTATGTAGCTAATACTATATGTGCTCAATAAAAAATTTTTTGTGAAGCATTTCTACCTTTCATTTTTAATACTGAATGAGAAAACAGTCCTTTTCAAATTGCAATCACAGAAAGGTTAAATGTGACCAAATGTTTAGGCCGAATAACAGAAGACTTAGAAAGGTTATGAACGAGTGGAGGTGTTTAATGATAACTTACCATTTTGTTTTTTATGACGTTAATCTTCAACTGCGAATCAAATGGCTTAACAGAAAGGAACATTTGCAGCCTTGTGTAACATAGATAATAAGAGTTTAGTTTCTTTTCATGTGGTTAATAATGATAATCCTTGCATATGGTATAATGCCTTTCACGCAAGAAGAACATACTAAAGAGCTTCACAGGATTTACTATAAAGTGGAGTGACTGTGTATTTGTGGGTGAACTTGGCAGCCAATTTGCATACAACAATGTCCCACAAACAGCCATGAAATGAAATGACTGTATTTTATTTGAGGGATTGTTGGCCAAGACACCAGGAAATACTCCTTTCTCTTTACGAATAGTGCCATGGGATCTTTAACGCTCACCTGAACAGGCAGACGGGATCTTGGTTTAACGTCTCATCTGAAGGACGGCACATCCAAAAATCCAATAAATTTCAAGCACTTCAATGGTTTGTCAGATTAGACTATGTGAGTTCAAGTCCCGATGTGGGGCTTCAAACCAAAAACCTGACACCAAAATTACAGAAAATATCAGTGTAACTGTAGGGTGTGTGCACATCTGTTGTGCAGAGAATTGGATGCCCATTTTCTGCCTGACAGCATTTCACTTAATGATTATTGGCTTTTTTCAGGCAATGTGCTGCTTTTGGCTCATTTCTAACTGGTGCTGGGTGGGGAGATAGCAAGTACTCTCACTGAGTCAGGCTGACACATAAAAGAATCATAATAAAAAGATATAAATTCTAAATTTGAACCTTCCTCGGGTGAGCTTTTTAGATTCCTATCGTATTATTTTCTCCCTTCAGTTCTGCAGACTCCATTGAATCTCTAAATACCCGTCCAAAGATATTCTTAATGTGCAGTGAAAACAGTGTATTCAATCATTTGTGGCAGGTGTCATAACCTAGTCCTAACACCTGTCCTCAGCAAACATCCACAGCAGGGTCACTGGCAAGTGAATATAAGCAGGAAACCTTGTTTGATTGTTCAAGAAACTTTGGCTGATATTTTTTACTTCCAATTTGAGGGATGATGGGGCTACTATCCTGTAGTTTTTACAGAAATGTAATGTTCAGTTGATGCTGCTGTTAAACTATGCTTCTTACATCTGATGGAATGTGATGCAATGTCACTGACCTTCTCAGATCCTCACATCAGCATTTTCAGCTGCCAACAGTGACAAGTTACTGGGAATTTTGCAAAGCCCACTATGAATTTGGCACCAAATTCACACCATTACTGGCATGAATGCCAAAATCCATAACGTGACAACTGCATTAGTCAGAACCCCAAGGCAGTAATCAGGATTTTTTCTCAAGATCAGAACTTTTCAGTCTTTATATGAGTTGTCATATTTATTTGTTAGCGGATGAAGCCAATAACTTGAATCTGCTATTGCATCGTTTTTTAATATCAAGCTCCTTCAAGTATAATTTTGAAACATTTCAAGTGCTTGCTGCCAGGTAAACGTATTCACTCACAAAAGATGAAGTTGTTTTGACCTCAACTTCAATAAGTTATTATAACATAGCAGGCAGTGATTTTGAGGATGTGGAACCTTGCATTGAGACTATTATTTCATACCACTAAAGCCCTTCCCGGTTAGACAAGGGAGTTTGGAAGGGAACAATCTGCATCTCTGAATTCGACAAAGGTAAATCTCATTTTAGTTACGTTACCGTAAGTAAAATTCCCTCTCCCTCATTCTGTATGTGAACATAGTTCATATTAACTCAATTCTTAAACGGATTTATTAATCAGTTTTCTTAAGGCGATGACTCCTCTCCCCTGAGTAAGACTTACAAAATATTTTTGTTTAAAGATGTCATTGACAGAATGAGCTGTTTAATTGCATCAAAGATTGGGCAGATCGAGAATGCCAGAGTCTTTACAGATAGTAGCGATGTGAATGTTTTTAAAAGGACTGTAGTTTTGATAAATTCTGACTATTCTACACATCATTTAATACAAACAGGTATCACAACAGTCTTGTTCACTCCTTCACTATCTATACAAGACATTGAAATAATTGTTTTTTTGCAATGTTCTGGGCTGGAAACAAATCCACATTTACTGTGTGTGTTTTTTTTTTGGTGGGTTTTTATACGTTGTTCCAACTTCAACTAAGTTGTACAAAAATATAATAACGAAGGCCTGTTTTTTGTGCGTTTTTTTGTGCTGACTGCGAAAACCATGGATGGAAACAACAATCAGGGATGAGTCACAATGATCTTACAATGAATCAAAGCTGAGACTAACCATGGGATTACGGGATAAAATCAGTGACAATCGATTAAAATTCTTTATATATTCCAAAATGTTTAGGGGCCAATTTTGTCCTTTTGTAGCAGTTTCAATTTTGAGCAAACCGAGGATTAGCAATGTGTGTGTGTGTGTGTGTGTGTGTGTGTTGGTGGGGGCTAAATCTAATAGCAATGAAATTCTTTCATACTATTAATCTATTCACAAAAGTAGTCCAATGGTTTGGTAATACAGTCAGTAATAATGGATCCCATAACCCCAGGCAAAATAAAAACTCCAGCATCATCAATAAGATTTTAAACAAAAGTGATACAAACCTGCTAATTCTATGGCCTATTTTGATGGTATCCATTTTTATTTTTTTCATCTCCTTTTTGGTTTGTTCACGTAATCTTGAAATCCAGAGAGAAACAAGTTAAAGGCGGAAATAAATAAGTGAGCAAATGACAAAAAAATGATTCCATATACTAACTACAGCAATACATCAGTTGCATTTTATTTTATCCCGTGCTAAGAAGTGTATTGGAAGTTTTATGAAACAAATGCAAACCTTATATAATGATAATAATCCTTGCAGTTGATTTAGTGTCCTATCACGTAATTGAGATATCTCAAAGCGCTTAACAGAACATACTGTAAAGTGAATTCACTATATTTTGTGGACAAATATGCACACTTAAGGTTTTTTTTATTGAACAAAATCACAAATTTTCCAAGTGCTTTAGCTAGTGTCAGTGTGTGCAACGGTTTAACTTACGTGCTGTAATCCTGGTGAAGATCATCGCGGAATTTTTCATTTTCCTTGATAACATCTTGAAAGGTTGGATGAAGTGGCGTGCATTGGTTTCAGTTAAAGTTAAAACGCCTACTATTTTAAGACTATTTGGTGGTGTCTTAAGAACTTAAATTGCCTCATTTATGCTTTCCCCATTAATCTTCCTATGTCAAGCTTAAAGACAGGGGGCAAGTTAACAAATTGCAGCCAAAAATAACATTAAGAATCTCACAAAAACCGGGACGAAATCAATTCTGTGCGATCTAGCATTATTTTCCAAGTCTATTGGGACAATGAACATAAAGTGGAGTCTTTGTAAGAATCAAGAATTAGCATCGAAAGCTTAATCATTAACAAATGAAATTAAAAACTTAAATCCCGACCCAAATTAGTGATACAGGCTTCAATTTGGCTGAATAGATCTTTATAACGAATTTGTACCACCATGCTAGCCCACCCAGCCAACTGTGCAATAAACGTTCAGGTTGACAGCGTAAAATAAAAGGGGTAATTTTTTAAAAAAATTTAGGACAAATTGAGATAACACCACAATTATTTTAGTCTGTTACTTTACACAATCATTTAATAATGACTGTAGCATTCTAACTTATTATTGACCTAGCACTATCTAATAGTGAAGTAACCAAGAATAAAAGGGACATTGGTTTAGCACAGAGCTCTTTTTTAAACTTGCCATTTGTTTTTCATGGAAATGCAGCAAAATGAATGTGATTTTACTCTGTCGTTTGATGCTCTACTGGCAGTACAGTGCAACCTCATTCACCTCACTGGGCAAAATGTTATAAGGTCAGAAGAGGAAAGCTTAGTTGGTAGAATCAAGGGAACATTATTGGGGGTTATTTTTCTGAGACTGGAATAACATGTTCATTAAATAGAATGTATGCAGTTGGCTCTGTGCGTAATTCTCTATATTCTTGTCCTGGGCTCCTCTTGAGCCCGTGTGCTCTGTAATGGAAATATCACACACTTTTTTTGACCGCATGCCTGAAATAGTTTCTGATGCTGGAATCCAGCTGTAGCATGCGGAGGGTTAATCTGCAAATGTCTGATGGGCAAAGGTTCAAAAACAGATTATCCATGGCATGACAGTGGGCTGCGATGAAGACTGTCCTGGAGGGCAGGGAGGACCTGTTTTCGATAGGAGAGAGCCACGCATTATGTAGAGGAGGCTCTGTGCCCAGATCAGTCGTCCCACATTAGAGTCTTGGCAGATCCCGTGGGAGATCAGAAAAAAAACAAATGATTTGAAGCATAGAGTTAGGGGAAGAGGAAAACAAGAAGGGAAAGGAAGGGAGATTGCATTTTGCTACTGGATTATTTCCAACACAAATGCAGGGTATAATTTGGTGCCATCAAAGTAAAGCAACCATGAATGATTCAATAGTTATGGGACTTTATCAAGCTATACAACTTACTTCATCCTTCCAACAGGAAAATAATGTTTTGGAATAAACGTCTTCCTCTTGTACAGCGTACAAATGTACAGCGCTGGAATGGGCTTTCGGTTTACCTGTAATTTGCTTTTCCTAGTGAATTATTCTCAATCACAAGAAGGCACAAACTTGAGCTCAGAAGAATGATGAATGTGAGAGAATTAGAGAACTACTTTGATGAGGAAATCGATAGGGGTTGCAGTATGAGAGTTGGGATTATTGTTTATTTTATATTATTTTATTTTTTATTATTTAACAATAGTCTTTTCTGGTCCTGCACACTCCCATATTCCTCAAGCAATCCACACAAATGTTACATCTTTCCTGTATAAATGTCTTAGACTGGACAGAGTATTAGGTGCCACATAAATCCAAAATTCAAGCCATTCAGTTTATCCATAGATCTCCCTGCATGAAAACAAATGGCTTTTCCTTATAAAACAGGAAAAATGTGCAAGGAACAATCAATTTAAATCAAATGGGGTAGTTCAGAAACAATACAGAATGCAATGTTGGTGTTTCACTGAAAAAAATAAAATAGACAACTTTAATCCTTAGAACTACTCTGATTTAATTGTCATTGTGTTGTACTGCTTTCCCCACTGCCACTCATGAGTATTCTACAGGTTCCTTGCAGGAAAGTTAAATCTATAGATAATCTTGTGGATTTCAGACCGTGGCCGTGCTAGGATTAAAGGTCACGCAACAAGGCAATATGAGAAGCAGATACACATGTTATCCATGTAAACTATCTTCTGGGAGTATTCTGCCATACAAAGGAAGGTGATGGCTCCGAGGATAACGACAAAGATGATCTGAATGAAGATCCCTGCCTTGGGGAAACACAGCTAAATCTTGATATGATTCTATCTGCCAAACCTGTCTGCTGGAAGCAATTACACATTTAGGAAGGGTAGAACTAATTAAGATGATATTTAGTTCCGAAAGACATTAGTTTAACATGTAAACAGTGATGCCTTCATTGTACCAGGGGACACAGATGTAATGCAGTGGAAGGCAACATGACTAAATTGTACTCCTGATATCTCTTTCTTCATGATGGAACTGGTACAAAATTATGCACAGCTAAATGGCCTATGTCCCCCCACCGCCCCCCATTAATTAATCTCAGCCAGGGAACAGCTTGGGCTACAATTGGCCTCAACACCCCTGGTTAGGGAGAGCAAAATCAACCAGGGTTTCACTTCTGCTGGAAGATATGTGTGTGTGGATATTGGGCTGAGCATATGATTGGGGTCTGTCATAATGCCAACCATGTTGTCAAGCCTGCGGTGGGGAGGGGTTTGGGGAGGGGGGTGCACTGGTGGGCCTCATTGGCTGGTAGATGGAAAAAATAATGAAACACCTTCTGTAGAGGAGGCCAGCAGGGTAAAGTGGCCGTCATGTCCTGAAAACCAATGTTTTTCAGTGTTGAACTAATTTTGTTTAAAGCTGTCAGCCTAATTAATATATGCTCCTCCAACACTGTACACAGCAACACTGAACCGTTCACCCCCATGTTACTCTGAGCACAGAACATACAAAGTTCAAATATTGCATTACTAACACGGTGTAACATGTGGAAAAACATTGCTTGGCTCAGTACTATGATCCAATTGAATAAAGGATATGGAAATTTAGAGATCTCACTGCGTTTCATTAAACCACCCCAGGAGGCTACCTTGCCAGTTCCTATATTTTTCATCTGGAGGTAGTGATTCACTAGAGGACTACGTCCCTTGAGTCTGTAGAGTACGTACTGGAACTCTGGACCACGGCCAACGTAACATGACTGTAAAATGTTAAGATTCATTGATTAATCCATTTTGCAGCACAATAAAATAGTCTTACTGAAGTCTGACCTGCGATATTCACAAACTGGATTTATCAGCAGCTCCTGATTTGCCCAACATTGAATTTTGAGATTCGAGGCTGGAAAATTGCAATTTTCAAAGTGACTACGTTTGAAAAAAAAAGCCAGCGAGATTACATTACAATAGCCAATCCTTCAGGGTGAATATCATCTACCCGTCAATGTGAGAATGTCCTGACCATCATTATCTGCTGCAATATGTCTGTATAAAGTTAAGGGACCAAAAACAAACTAAGTTCACAGCAGTATAACACTGTACTAATGCACTTAATGCTAACTCAGAAACATGGAGAATAATAGATTCCCAGCTGTGACCCCATCACTGGATTCAAACGAAAAGATCGCAAGAGATTTGTGAACGAAAAAGGCCCTTTAGCACATTTGATCTTACAAAGACAAACTGACATTTTTATAGCTCCTTTCACGACATGAAAATATCCCAAAAGCTTAACAGTACTGGCTGGCCATCTTACCATTCATCCCCATAGCTTTGCCATTGGAGCATTCAAGCTGGTTTTAAAATGAGTCCCAGTGTGAATGTCTTCATCACCCTTTGCACTAACCCTTTCCTACTATTAATTACCTTGTGTGAAAAGAAATACTTCCTGGTGTCTGCGCTAAAATTGCCCCTCAATAACCCCATAACCACGCTCTCTTATCCTGTTATCTTGAGATATCTGAGAGTAAATGTTCTGTGCTTACTGAAATATTGAGATAATGGTTATAAACTATTCACATTTCGCCGTCACTGGGTGTAATTATCATCTGACTCACTTCATGACATTACTGCCTTGCAAACATTCTTGAGTGCTCATCATTCTCTGTATATCAAGCATGTAGATTTGCATTATGTACATGGTGCTGCATAGATATGAGTTAGAGTTTCAGTACAAGTTAATGCACTAAGAAAAGGCTCGTTGAGAACACTATTAATTTGGTTTTATTGAAATCTGAACCTGACTGTTAGCTTAAATTTAAAGGTACAATAAGAATAAGTTTGATTAACTCACTGTGTACCGTTATTGTTCTATCCTAAACTTACCTGCTTTACTTCAACCGTTGGCATCAGTTTTGGTGTTGGGATTTCTGTCTCTTTCACGATTCCTTCATCCACACCTTTCAGTAGTTTGTCAAAATTAAACTGCAAATTCATTTTTCCTACAGGGAATTGAAAGAGCTGATTACTTATCGTGACCTTTAATGTCACACACACACGAACACACTTAGTACAGAACAACTACTATGCTTAGAATGTCCATGGTTCCTCCAATAAAAATCACTCTGTCTGATCATTTCTAGGAAAATCATGTAAAGAAATTATTTCCTTCTTTCTAACAGCTGTTCTTAATAGCAGATTGTTGGACAAACAGAATTTCTAGCACCAAGAACAGGAGACAGGAATGTTAAACTATTTCCTATGCCGAGGTTTCATAGAAACCTGAACAGAAACCAAGGACATCAGTATGCATAGCGGTTAACAGAAATACCAAAAATCTGTTTGTGTGTGGTTTGTTGTCAGCAGGAGACTGAAATGCTGAGAAGGGGGTGATTGCAGGAACTAGGAAAATCCAGAGGAGCAAGAAAATCCATTTGTCACAGCCTGTATCCCAAAGTGGACTGGGAGATAGAGAATTCCATGCAACCTGGAGGAGGAAGTATTGAACTTGCAAATGTCATGGACTGAGATCAAAACTGGATTCCAGCATGAACATGCTTTTATGTTGTAACTAAGTCTTTGCTCCATTGCACTCATTGTACACATTGTGAATGGGAGTAACAACGTTTTGCTATAAGCCCAGTTACTTCAACATTACAAAAAACATTTACATTTATGTAGCATCTGTCACGCTAGGAAGATGCCTCAAAGTGCTTCACACAGCTGAGATCTCGAGCTGGGAGGGGGGAATTGAGGAAAGCTGGAAGCAGTGTAACCCTTCCTCAAACACCAGTGAAGATCATATAGCAGGAAAACAATTGCAGCAAGGCTTTTTATTTTGGAAATCAGTCATAAATACTATTTCCTTTTTTCTACTTTCCTACATTATCTACATTCCACAGTTACACTGCTGACGTTATCTGGACATGAATAGAAATAAGAGAAGAACCGGACTGCCCCAAAGTACAAATAAGCTTCAAATAAAACTAAAAGGAGTATGACCTGGAAATCAATGGTTAAAGATTTGAAAGCACCAAATAAAAGGTCAGCCGGCAAGCTGATGTGGGTGTGAATGTGAATGTCAGAAAACAAACCCTAAAATGGTAACCTCCATGGCCAGAGAAATCACACACGGATTATGCAATGAATTGCATTTATTCTACAAGGATTAGATTTCAATTAAAAGATAGCTGGAATTCATCAACACAAACAATATATGACATTTGTTTGGGAATAGTACAAAGAGATAGATGCTGGTGTATTGTAGTTGGATAATATGCAGGCTCCCTGCACTAATACTCTTGTCATTTTTACAGCCATTGAGTGCAGGCTTGCTTGCTGCGCAAAGAATCCTACATTTGGCAGAGAGTTTAGAGACAACGTGATACTCACCATTTAAAATCCTGTGCTGCTGTGAAGAGTTGCAAGGCTACAAAAATGTAATTTGGCCGTGGTTCCTAAGATCCATTGCCAAATTTTATTTCGATAACACGCAGGACAACAGGACAAACATTTGCCTTGCGCGCTTTACACCAGGGATAGCCAACCTTTATGGTCAGACAACAAAGTACATTTTCTTGACTGAATATTGTGAAGTGTGTCACACACAGAGATACACACACAAACACACACACATATATGCGCTTTCTGATGGTCTCTCAGGCACATGAGCCCACAGGTTGGCCACTACCACTCTACACACTCGGGTACTTCTGAAGACTTTACGCTCAGTAAGTCTTATTCATAATCTGAAGTGCATTGTTACATTACTGGTATTACTCCACGTCTGGAACCCTAATGAATAGAATGCTAGCGGGAGATTACTTCCGAAAGTCTGGAATCTTGTCCAAAGTGGCCGGAGGCTGTTGGAATCTCAGTGCAGATGTACATGATCAACAACAGAAAACAGCTCTAAATAATGAGCAAACCTCTACTCGATTATCTTTATATCTTTCTTTCCATTTATTCATTGCATAAAATATTTTTGTCTGTGCACATTTAAAAAAAAAGGCACGCTCAGCTGACAATTATTATGAGTTTTTCCTCTAAATGTTTAAATCCTGTGAATAGTTTATGTCTCATTGTTGAGACAATTCACTTCACCATTTCCACATTAAAGCAACACTGATAAAGCAGGTTTTCGGGCTCAAATATCGGGCTGCTCCCGAATCAGAATTTCACTGATGTCAAAATTGCACTGACTTGCTACAGAATAAATCCAACTGTATTGTAGCTGATTTCAAATGGACTTTATTATTTAAAAAAATTAAAAATGTTTTTGCTGAAGCCTTTTTGATGTTACTAAAATCAGGTCACACTTCCTCACACACTTAATTTTTTTTTGTGGAAGGGGTAGGTATTGATCCTTGAAATACAGATTAAAAGCCACTAATTTTAGACTTTGAGCAATGCATCTAAGAACAACTTTGTGACTCGGTGAGCATAATCTTTGTTCCTTAAATATTCCCATTCGCAATTCCGATCATAACGTTGCATGCGTTGTGCAATAAAAATGGTCACACTGTTTGCTCACATTACTGTGAAGTGGGGAAGTCTGCACAATAAAAGGCCAATAACATGGTTGATCAAGTTATAAATGTGAAACAATGGGTGAATTAGACATGCTTAGGAAACATTCTCCAAAGCCCAATATAATTTTAGATGGTTTGGATGTTGGTCAGGGGTATTATATTCACTGCTGGTCCATATATTTTAGTTCAGAAAGGAATTCCCTATTGTAAGCAGACACTGGCAAGGCCTACAGATTGATCCATTTTCACAGAATCAAACACTCTTGTGTAAACATTACACACAGATGAAGAACAAAACTGGAAACATTTTGAGGCTATAATTCACCACTGAAACAAAAATGCATTTCATGTGTGTAGACTTATCAAGCCTGGGAAGGCTGATAGAATCAACTTTCATTTGTGTCCTTCAGTCAAGGCTGCCCGTCTTCAATTGGATTGGGCAGTCTATACATATGCCAATTTTACTTAATTATGGGTGTGCAGACAGACTATGGTTTGGTTCAGCTGAAATCAGTATAAGATACTTTCAAAAGCCCAGAAAACCACAGAACAAGTGACATCAGACACAAGAATGAACATACATGGATGGCATATTACATCACTTCTCTGAAAAAATTTAATTTGGACAAAATGTCTGGATCTTAAGAAGTTGTCACCATCTGTCTTTTTTTTTGCCAATTCTATTCAATTAGGCCCAGACCTAAGCATTTGGCATTAAAGATTGATTTAAATAAGTCAAACAAGGGCCAACTTCGGAAAGTCATGATCCTTCGTGTTGACTCTCCAGATAAATGGCAAGTTATTTTTTAAAATAAACAACACCAACAACAAGATTACACTTGTATAGCACCTTTCACGTCCGGAGGACGTCCCAAGGCGCTGGATAGAGTACAGCATCTCAGACCCGAGCTGGGGTCAGGAGGGGGGAAAGGAGGGGAGGGGAAGTGGCCGATGACATGGTCGAAGAGGAGAGTCTTGAGGCGGGACTTGAAGGAGGCTAAGGAGGAGGCGAGGCGGAGTGACCGGGTGATGGAATTCCAGAGGTTGGGGGCAGAGTGGCTGAAGGCTCTCCCACCAATGGTAAATAAAGCTCAGATAACGTTTTGTGACTTGATGTTTTTGTATCCATCAACATCCCATTAAAAGAAAATCCCGTTAGTAAGTTTCTAATCAGATTCCAATTCACCTCTTTAATTCACACAGTTTCCCATTCTAATTCAATTCCTGATCCATTCTTTCAGTCCATTCTAGTCCATTGCTGGGACAAAGATTACAGGACAATAATCTTGAAAGTGAACTCCCCTTTATTGAGGAGATTTGGTGTCGTTTGTCACTGAACTGGGTGCTGGAGCATAGCTCCAGGGACCAACTCCCCTTCTCAAATTTAGGTCTAGACACGGAAAGAATGGCTTCTTTTCTGTGATCATGACTGCCTAAAGACCACAGCCTGTTCAAGGTTTTGTTAAAATGTAATTCATCCTCATGTCTTTAAGTCAGGCTGGACACATATCTCTCGCTACTGAAAGAAATTACTAGATTTTTAACAATGCCCCTCTGGTCAGCCTCTATGAGTGACGGGACACCATACAGAAAGAATACAACCACCTCTTCCCCCAAAGGCAGGAAGTTAAAACGAGACATGAACCTACTCGTATGAGTTTCTATAACAGGACAGAAACACGCCACTCAGTCCATTAAGTCTGCGCTGGCATTTTTCATCACACAAGACAATTAATCTACTCCTCTCCAAATCTATACTTCCAGGTCCATAATTGACCTAAAATAAACAGAAGCCAATCTTTAGCTTCAGATAATTTCTAGAGTCAAAGATCTAAGGTCATCATGCTGGCAGGATTGAAATTGCCAGAAAAAATAAAGAAAAAAATGTTTAAAGCTTTTCTCCCATTGATTTTTTCCTAAATACTATAGTTACTATAGATCCATAAAATTAGGTTAGGATTGTGAAGAATCTCAGGGCAACTTCACCAATAGTAGTTATTGTCAAAATGGCAAAACTTTGGCCTTAATCTGAGTAGAGTTCGGCACAGACCTCTGGTTCTATCCCCCTCAAGCCAAAAGACCAGCAGTCTTGTCCCCGAGTCTCTGCCAATGGTTCTCTGAAGCTCTGCACTGAGACGTGGGACAAAATTTCCTCTCAATCTCCTGGGGTATCACCTTGCCCTTTCTCAGCTGGCAGCTTCCCCAGATCAGCTGGCTGAGAACTCGCCCCCGGAAGAATCTCTGCTTGTGAAGGGACTGGAGACCTTAGATATTCATGGCAAAAGTTTAAATCAAAGATTTGTTTTGACAGAGAAATGCTTGTAATTGCGCTTGTAGTCTTTAAGTATTGCTTATAGTCTTAGGAGAGCAAAAGTAAAACAAACATGAATCACCCCGACCAAGACCGATGCTTTAAGCAAGTGCTTTTCGTACGCTTACACTCTCTGATATCATTCTTTTCATTTATTTGC